GAACATCCGGCAGATTATACTCCCTATATATATTGTATATATATATATATATATTATATATTGGTGATGGTAAGTGTACCTCAATGAATCTCAGAGATCATATTATTAGTATGTAGCATGTTAATAGTATGTGGTATTGCCAAATATAGCCTTATTGACGAATATGTCGTTCAGTGTGTGAGATATATATTTATAAAATTGCTTGAAAATATGCTCTTAAGTATAGCTGAGCAATGTCCAAATTAATGCAATCAGCCAGTCCCTTAATCTGTCCTCAACATAGCATACATAATGATTTCCGACTTACCACCTGACTTTGAACCGTACTCGTTGTTCGAAATGTGTGATATTTTAATGAATTTAATAGACAAGTTTCCTTGAAAATTAGATATGTAGTTTACCACTAAATATGAATGGAATCGGTGTACCCCTTGGTCTAAACATCATATCCATAATATAAAGAACTAGAGGATCTGTCGTTTTCCACATCAACTCTATATATTAAATTTAGCCTCTTACATTAAGTTTATATCACATAGTTCTCATTTATAGATGATTTTAATATAATTTCGCCGACGCGAAGGTAAATATATTATAAAAACTAAGTGTGAATAAACTCAATGAAGATTCTTTACTCTTACCGCTGATGGGGGAAATATAAAGATCTTCTTTGAGCTGAGAAATATTGCATTCTGATTTTATTTTATTAAATGCAGCTCTTATATATTGTACTATTTACAAATCTTACTATCTAATTATATGTATATATGTGTCTATTTGTATGTATCTTTAGTGGTCTTTTACAGACAGACTCTCTTGTAACCCAAACCGGTTTATTGTGGGCGAGGGGACGACGAGGAAAGACGAAGGGACTTTGCATTCCTTCTCACTTTCAAATTCTTTGAACGGTTGCAAGAGCGCTGTGTTTCAAATGAATTCGTTCACATATTTGAATTCTGTTATCTATTTTTTGTATGTAATATGCAAATTTGTATGCATAGAATAATAGAAATATAATATTTTGAAAAATTGTAAATAAGGAGAAAATTAAGATATAGATTATGGAGTAAAGAAATTATGAATTTTTAATACGGAGTAAAGAAATTATGAATTCTTAATATATAAAGATTAGGATATTCCTGTTATAAATTTGGCCTTGAAAATATTAGTAGCGGGTATTCAATACATTCTGGTGCATTAAGTATTTCTTTGAAACTATTAAGCGGGTAGGTATTATGCATATTGTTCTACCATATTCATGGTAATTCATTGCAAGCAAAATGTGAGACCATCATCCCAACATACAAATGAAATATGCAACACGCTCTAAGTGTTGCACAGTCGAACCGCACAAATATTTACGAAAATTTTGTGAAAAGGAATGCAGAAAAACTAGACTCGAGTTGCTGGACTCTTTTTGCTCGTGTGAATGCACAGAGCGACACCAAAAGAGAATTTGTCGAAAACGAGGGTCAAAAGAGTCTGTGTGTAAAAGCCGTGTTACACGACATGGGGTTGTTTTTAATTGTACAACTCAATCTATGTGCGTTTGTGTGTGTGTTCGTGGGTTATCTATTTTATGTGATGTGACATGACACAGAATTATAGTGCTTAAATGTATTTTCAGAACTCTATTTTTATACTCTCGCAACCTGTTGCTACAGAGTATAATAGTTTTGTTCACCTAACGGTTGTTTGTATCACCTAAAATTAATCGAGTTAGATATAGGGTTATATATATATAAATGATCAGGATGAAGAGACGAGTTGAAATCCGGGTGACTGTCTGTCCGTCCGTCCGTCTGTCCGTCCGTCCGCCCGTCCGTCTGTGCAAGCTCTAACTTGAGTAAAAATTGAAATATCTTTATGAAACTGTGTAGACATGTTTCCTGGTACCGTGAAACGGTTGGTATTGCAGATGGGCGTAATCGGACCACTGCCACGCCCACAAAACGCCATTAGTCAAAAACAAATAAATTGCCATAACTAACCTCAGCAATAAGATACAAGATTGTTATTTGGTACAAAGAATCACATAAGGGAGGGCATCTTCAGTTAAACTTTTTTTTAAAAAGTGGGCGTGGTCCCGCCTCTAATAAGTTTAATGTGCATATCTTCTAAACCGCTAAAGCTATAATAACCAAATTCACTGGGAAAAAATGTTTTTAGCACCTCTATTGACGGTGCAAAAATGGGTGAAATCGGGTGAGCCCCCTCACTCCCTATATAACGGTACTGTTAAAAAATGCTAAAAGCGCGATAAACCAAGCACTAAACGCGCCAGTGACATTAAATTTTACCTCTGGGATGGTATGAGATTACTTTATAGGAACCGCGTTTAAAATTAGTCAGGGTCGTTTAGGTGAAAACGGATGTGCTTAACCGATTTCAACCAAATTTGGTACATAACATTCTCTTTATATTTCTATGTTATGGTGCAAAATGGGCGAAATCAGATTATAACCACGCCTATTTTCTATATGACACCATTTTAAATTCCACTTGATTCTTTCACTTTCCACTATGCACATCAAGCAACAATGAGTAAAACTTTGCGTGAATATTGCGTTTAAAGTACGCCACCTTGTGACCAAAAATTGTCTAAATCGAACCAAAACTGTTCAAGCCCCTAAGTACTAAATATGTGGACCCCAGTGCCTGTAGTTGACCTTCTACCGAAAATATCAGTCAATCCACAAAGAAATCTCAAACGAGTATACCATTTGACTTTGCAAGAGTAAAAAATGTTCGGTTACATCCGAACTTAGCCCTTCCTTACTTGTTTACTATAAAGTTTTGCGAACAACTATAAGTATTTCGCCGGCTTTGATCCTTGGATGTTATACTAGTATAAAATGTTCAATTACATCCGAACTTAGCCCTTCCTTACTTGTTATTTATTTAAAATATTAAAGAGTGAACCTTATTTCGACTTAAAACGAAAAAACATAATTTTCAATCAAAAATTCTAATGTAAAAATTTCAGATTTTTTAAAAAAATCAGTAACCTTTTTCTCGTTGATATCTCTACTTTCTGATGGTATAGGAAATATATTTGTACATGGCTATGGTAATTTTGCAAAAAAAGACTGCACTAAGTAAGTATTAGTCCAATTCGCTTATTTCCGCACTGTATCATAGGATAATCATGATAATTATTCGTAGCAAATTTTTTGAAATTGGTAAAGATTCGGGGATATGTGATTTCCCCGACGGGTGTAAAATTAAATGTCTCTGACGCATTTAGTTATGGATTTATCGCAATTTTAGTAGTTTTTAGCAAAACCATTATATGCAGAATGAGCAGGGTTGTTATCCGATTTTACTTGTTTTCCCAGGTGTTTGTTGAACAAAATTTGTATACTCTGTAGCAACTACAGTATAAAAATGTTGCATTTGTATCCAATATTCGCCATTCTAGGAAGTTATTAACGGGTTACAATAATATTTGGTAAATTATATACTTATGTATATTATAAGTCGTAGACTCGCTTAGTTTTATTACTACTTTTTACTTCGTGTCCGAGAAATTTATATTTAACAGTTAACTCAAATGTGTTTTATGTATGTACAAGTATGTTATATAAACTTACCCAAATGGGCTAATTTATATATATGTGAAATATCTTTTCCCAACAAAATAAACGGAAGTCATTATATTAGGGATATGAGGTTTGGAGCTAGGTCAAGACCAATTTCATTCATATTCAGTGCAAAACCACAACATTTTTACGAAAATTCGTCCAACTAATTTAAGATAAAAATCACACATTTTGACCAACATAATCGATTGTTATGTATAATTAAGCTGTAATATATTCATTGTTATAAGTTCACTTAGGTTTGCTAAAACCTTTTCCACATTGACCTATATACGAGTATTCTGTAAAAAGCCATCCGAAAGTTTGAAATTCTAATTGTGATTCCTTATATGATTTTTTACTTTTTTGGTCTTTGAGTTTCATTAAGATATCTTTCAAATTGACCAGCATATATGGAATAAGGTCAAACGGATTTTGTAAGATCCTTATATAAGATATATGGGTGCTAGGTTTAATATTAACTACATTTTATCTATTTTAGGTTCAAGGGCACACTATTATTAGGTAGATATGCTCTATTAATTTCTTTAAGATAGTTCACACTTACATATGTATAGTAGGTATATGCAGGAAGGCCTTTTTGGCACAAGGGCCCACTATTATGGGAAAAAAATTCTCTTTGAGTTTAAATAGTTATCTCACAGATTGACCGATATTTCCGATTAAGCTACCACCACTGAGTTGCACATATTCGGTATCTGGGGGCTTGCAAAGTTATGATTAAACTTTTAGACCTGAGATGGAATATCTTGAAAGAACTATTTGTGTAAGTTTAATCCCGCTATCTTCATCGATGCTTGGTTTGTATACTGTAAAGTCAAAGAATCAGATTGAATTTAAAATTGTCTTATATAGAAAGTAGGCGTGGATGTGGTGGAGCCCATTTTTTCGCTGTAACAAAGGGATACCAATATGTTATACACCAATTTAATCGGTCAAGTGGTTTTTGAGACATAAGGTTTCACTTCAAATTGGGCGGTGCCACGGTTATTGTCCCCGCATCAAATACAGTTTCGTTTTCATATATTGGATCGTAGTTCATTTGTTGTTTCTGCTTTACGGCATGCCTTAATGTACATACATATGCATAAGTAAATAAACCGTATTCATATAATTAATATAGGTAAATCTTATCACACAATATGTTTTCCTTGTCACAAGCTATTCAAATAACTAAAGCTGAATTGCAATTGAGCTAAGCGTTACAAGTACGCAGAGAGAAAGTATTCTATGGATATGGATATAAATCATAAGAATTATCTATTGACAAACGAGGCTTGTCGTGGGAACTAATACGAGATGCTTTGCGTTTAGCATGAAAACAATGCGTCGATAACACTTCATGGTAGCAGTAGTTTATCAGTTTGAACTGGGTGGTGCATATTAACAGCCGCTTAAAACGAATATATCAGTGCTTTCAACTCTCAACTAATAGCCACTATGGGATATTGGTCAAAGCTGTTGGATTGGATATTAAGAGATCCTGGAAAACTAATTCGCTATTTAGTCCTTTTTGTGTGCTCCGTTATTGTGATTGTACAGGTATATAAAACATTTTCATTGAGTGAAAACGTATTGCAGTTTGCAGAGATAAATATGAAGTGTTTATAATCAGCAATTCTTAATTGCAAAGAAACTCAGAAAACTAATACAAATTGTTATGAATACATAATAATCTCTTATTTTTTCAACCAGTTGTCGGAATGCTGTACCAAACTGCATAGTCCACCGATATTAACTCACTCATATTTTAGTCTGAACGATACTGTAGAAATGCCAGCTATCACTATATGCCGCGAGCCACCATACAAAGAAGATGTACTAAATGTAAGTTCTACATGAAGAAAAATATGAAAACATCGTTTCAATATTTACAAAACGAAAAAAATCTTATGGACGGCGGTGCCTATACTCTCCGTGTAAAATATAATTTTACTACTCCTTTCACTGGTAGAACCGGCCTTTTCTATACAATTTTTTTTACACTAGAAAAATGTTGCACTAGAGTATAATAGTCTTGTTTACCTCACATTTATTTATAACATCTAAAACTAATCGAAATAAATAGAAAGTTAAATATACATATATATAAATGGCCAGACAAGTTAAATTCGGGTTAAATTGTTGAAAAGTACAAAAATTGCGATAACTCACTAAATAAATACATCAGAAGCATTCAAATTCACCACCAAGGTGATGTCAAAAGGCTCCATATAAATCGATGTAAGAATTAGAGACTGGGCGAACTCCTTTAGCTTAAATCCTACATCTCAAGTATTATAATAATAAAGTAAAAGGATATAAAAATGGATGAATTTAATACATACACGCCTATTTCCCATATATTCCAATTTTAAATTTCATTTGATTTACAGTATATCAATCGAGAGATAAAACAGTTACCGAAATACAATTTTTTACAGATCGGACCATAACTTTCAAACCGTCATATATGTAGATCCTAGTTCCTCTTGCAGACTTTTTACCGAAAACATTGGTCAATTATCAAGTTAGATTTAGTATTGAAATCAAAATCTTTATATGATAACTAAATATTTTCAAACTTACCCCCACATATATCGGTCATTATGAGAGTTATTTTACTAAAAATCAGACAATCTTTCTAATAACTATGTATCCTTGTTTCAAAAACTATATTGGTCAATATGTAATGTATCTTAATGAAACTCAGAGCATCTTTTTCTGGGAAGGATATGTCATGATGCCAAAAATTAATCAAATCCGGTCAAAACTACCCGTAGGTTCCATATACCTGATATAATAATTTCAAGCATCCGGTTGGTTTTCTAACGTATATGGCATATCGGCAAATATATAAGATATCTTAGCAAAATTGAGTGAACGTATAATACTGGATATTATATAGTGTAGTGTTCAAATGAGTGAAATCGGTTTACAAAGCTTCCACTTGGTTACACCCGATCTTAGCCCTTCCTCATTTGTTTATTATATGGTAAACGTTTGTCATCACCAGAAAGTAATTCCTAGGCTTTGATCCTTACAAAGTTAAAAATGGTCGATCTTTTATTTATTTACCCCGATATAATATATTATGTAAAGTTAATATAAAGGGCTCAAACCCTAAAATTATTTAGCTGAAAGTTAGAAACGATATGAACCAGATTCATTTTTGGTACGGAACGAAGATATGCTGAATAAAATATTGTCACCAAATTTGTCTGTTCGGTACAAAATTAACCAAACGTAACGTAAGGAAAACGTGATATAGCCTCGGAGATTAAGACACGTTCAATGCAAATTTGAGTTTATAAATATTTCCTCAGTTTTCTTCCTAATTTTTGTAGCGGAAAACTAAATACATATATAACCCTTTATTTATAAAACTTAAAAGCAACCGTTAGATGAACAAAACTCTATAATAATTATACAATTTTGTTGTAAAAAAGGTCAAATAGAACTAATTAAATATCGTTATTCCAATCCTGAGAGAATTGCGGGAAACCTCAAGACATGTTTAGAAAGTTTTTTAACCCTTATGTTAGTAACCGGGTACCCGGGCATCCACCGCGGTGTATTTGTGTGAATAACACAACAAAAAATTTAAAACTATGCGCTGCACGGTTTGTCTTTACCAAAATTTTATCCGTTATCCATTATACATCTTTTAATCCTATTTACCATAACTTCATACGTATTACAAATAGCTTTTTTCCTTCATTATTATTCATTTAATCATAGGATCTCAAGTTTTTCAACAAGGTATCAATCTCATGCAAAAGTTAGGTCTTTGCACCGTGACAAGTGATTTTGATATTGAGTATGGTCTAGCCAACACCATTTTCTGCGTTTTATTTGCGGGTACGGGTTTCTCCTTTGTTATTCACATAACTCCAGTTTTTTTTAATTTTGGACTATACGATTTTGAATGTCGCTTCCATATAACAGTGTGGACTTAACGCATGTGGAGTATATTCTAAGTTTTGTGCCTCTGGAGATTTGCGAACATGCCCGATTGCAGTCGTTCAAACGCAGCCAGTGGGGATACGTTTTTGCTTCTCTGCCAGATAATATATGCTTTCGAGGTAGCATAAGGTGTCAGCGAACTCGATCTCATGATTATCGATCTTTATTTGTCTTCTAATGAATTTAATGACTCTCATGGGATATTGTATAATTCTTACATGAGTGTGATAAACTTAGAGACTAAATCTCAGTATAGTACTAAGCAGCAATGTCTTTAGATATATGTATATGTTTCATATTATATTTCTTTTATATCTAATTCTAATTCGTCTAGTAAACACTACAGGTTAGAAAATCAGTTTCCTTAAAACAGTGCGTTAATGAAAAGGTATAAATTTAATTAGGATGTAATTTTAATTATAGTTTTTTTCAGTTAATAAAAAACACAGCTACGATTAAATTATAAGATGCAATTATAAGTACATAAGTCAAATGAAAACAAAACGAAAACCACAAAGGTGATCAGTATTATTAAACCACCATTTAGTAATTGACAAGCTTGTTTGGGAAGTAAACATAGCTTTCTAGCTCATATAGATTTGAATCGCCACCTACAGCAAGTATTGGTCTTTTAGTCAAGGGGCCTCCTAAGTTATAGAATTTTTAAAGAATGCGACATTGGTTAAATTAAAATCTTCAACCTGAGGAATTAAAGAGTTCCAATAAGATACATGTCCAATTTATCTGTTATCAGAATACTTGTACCGTTAAAATATCGTCTTTAAAAGATCGCATTATTATGCAGATTTGAATTCGAATATTTTAATATAATTAAATGAACAGATAAGTTATGTCACAGTCTACTTATTTAAAGTATAATACCTATAATACTTGTATATTCAATTACAATTGTTTGAGTTTTTCTGTTAGAATATGTCGGGAGATATATGCCCGCATCCAAAATATGTAACTTGCTGGAATGACTTCCCTTTCAATGACTTAGAACTAGATGAATTCTTTATGAACTCAACCTTTAATTTAGAAGAAACCATATTGGGTGAACAATATGGGCTCGATGGACTAACTAGGAGTGGGTTAAAATGAAATATATTTGAAATATTATATGTTCAATAATAATCAATTTATTTAAATATATAACTGCGTATATCAAGATATAGAAATCAAAAGCAGCTTTCATTTCTACATGGGCCGGTGTTACACTTTGAATCCTAAAATAGAGCTTAAACGTACAACTCGTACTTCTGGTTATTCTCTATTGCTTACGCATAACATTGCATCGGGTTCAAGTATGGAAATGATGTTAGAAAAAAATCCAGGATGGCATATTTATATACATGATCATCGCCATGAGTTTACTGGTAAATAAAAATAAATATTTATTAAAAATTATATGTTATGTGGTAAAGTTTTCAAGCTACTATATAGAAAACTTTTATTTTGCCTTACACCTTATTTCTTCAAATTTTATTTATCAATTTTTTCTTAGAACTCAATGTGAAAGGGACTGCACGGACAGAGTATATTTTCGCTGAAATTGACGAGGAAATTGAAATAAAGCTCCAAAGCCAACAGTTCAGAAATATTGAATCAAAAAAAAACCCTTGCTCCGCTACACCAAGTTACAGTGACATGAAGGTATACTACCCTTTTACTAGGAAATCAAAGCGTTTTAGGTCTTTTGAGGACAATAAAGACCGCAGATTATAAAAGCTTAGAATACTAGGATTAATTTGGGGCGATACATATATACCGACGAAGTGTAAACCATAGCCCACAAAAAATCACACACAAATTATATCTACAGGTTGATTGAAAAGTTTCTGCGCTCGAAAGGAAAAAATACTGTCTTTGGACGAAATCTATTTTTTTATTCAATATAATCTCTCTTAACTTCAATACACTTATTCCAATAATTTTATGCTATCCCTATAATGACTACGACTGTAAAAGCTCCTTCGTTCGACAAAAAAAGCCAAATCTGCTGAATACGTTAGATGCTCAAGCAATTCGTACTTTAATTCGTTGAATTTTTTTTATTGTTAAAACACCTTTGTGAGCAGGTGCATTGTCTTGAAGAAAAATGATTTTTTTGTGCTCCAAACAAAGTCTTTTCTCACGAATTTTTGCATCCAGCTGATCCAAAAGGCTGCAATAATATTCAGAGTTGATTGTTTTAACTGATGACATTTCCTATTTTGCTGATCGTTGTGACTTCACCTTTGCTTTGGAGCTGAAAAACCAGCTTCCATCCACTGTAAACGTTCTTATTTCAATTTAGGATCATGGTGGTAGATCCAGGTCTCATCCATCCTTATAAAACTTCGCAAAATATCGGTTTTATTATGCTTCAAACGTTCCAAATTATGCTGAGAAATTTGTTTTCTTTTCCAGCTTTTTCATTTGTAATTCTCCATGTAAAATATGAAGTACTTGTTCTTCTGAGCTGCGTATAGCATTAGCATCTTCACTGACAATATTATGAACATGCTCAATGATTTCTGGTGTGGTTGTGGTTTTTGGTTGTCCTTCGCGTGGATCGTCTTCAAGCTTAGTAAGACAACGTTTAAATTCCAGCTCAAAATTCAACTGTGCCTTTTGGAGGTGAGGACTCCTTAAACACTTCGAACAATTGTTCATAAATTTCCTTCGTTTTTAAATCTTTTGAAACAAAGAATCGAATGACTGCGGGATTTTCAGTTTTTTCCACATTAAACAAATTTTCTGACACGTCAACTGCCATGTAAACAAAGAATTAAATGACAGAATGACTTGTAACTTTGTCTGTGTTCTTACGACAGATGTACCAACTTGAAAAAAAAAAATTTTGGAGCTAGTAGTGCTATTTCTTGGTGTAAGCAGAAACTTTTCAACCAGCCTGTATATTTATATAAGATAAGATTTATTTTTAGAATACATAGTTTGGCAAGTTACTTTCAAAAGATTTATTGTTTTACTTTTGCAATAATCATTGAGTCCTTCTACATATATGTAATTTTATAAAATTTATCTAATCTTCCAGATTACCTTTTTACTTACCAGTATGTATGGTGATGCCAAGATATTTGTTTTATGAACCAATGTTCTTTTGTCTCTATATCGTTTATCGCTGACCTGTCACTTTTTTTTTTTAATTTATTTAATATGAAAATGGAATACTATATATTCTTGACCTGTTGTTCAGAGTACCATCGCTCTCCCCCCTTGCCATTTTAAACAAACAGGCGCATAGATAAAATTTATTTGCATTTACACACAAAAACATATGTACTGCGTAAATATGGAAAATTTCGCAAATATTGTAAATATAAAATTTTCTCAGTGCGCTGAATTATGTGTTTTCGATGATTTGGCTACAAAAACCAATTGCACTGGTCCTTGGATGACCGGTATATCGCAGCAACCATGCGATAACAACAAGTCAATGCGTGCCTTAATAAAGGATTACGAAATGTAAGAAGACAAAACAACTGACGTTTTCACAACAAGTTTTAAATTTAATTTTATTATTTAGCTACTATAAAAGTGACGAAGATATTGAATGCGATTGCAAACGTCCTTGTAATGAGCGTATTTATTCGACATTAATACAAAGCAGAAAACAACTTAATTCGGGTCAGCAATATACCCAAGTATGGATTTATTATTCCACAAAATTAGTTTCGGTAAAATTAAAATCGGCAAAAAATTTCATAAATAATAAAAAAAGTTATATGTACAATTCGTGTTCTTTTCGGCAGATGGTGGAAGAACGTCCGAGCTATGACACTACACAATTTATAGCTGACATTGGTGGCTCATTGGGTTTTTTACTAGGTCTCTCTGTCCTAGGATTAATCGGCATATTGGAACATGTTAGTAATTACTTAACTTTATTTATAAAGTTTATTTCTATGCCCTAACTTACCCTATAGCTTACCTTATTTTTCTGCGGAGGATTAGTAAAAACGCAATTAAAACACGAGAATCAGTTACAAGACGAAGCAGAACGTCAATCCCAAAAAAGTGTGCAACTGAAATAAAAGATACAACTCTTTAAATATTAACAATATCCAAAGAGAAGAAAACATATATGGACGAATAAACTCTTGCATGACTTAAGAAGACTAGGCAGCATATAAATTGTTATCAAATTTATTTTCATTTCTCTGCATCTCTAATAAAACGACATGAATTAATAAAACGCAATTTTGCTTTTTCATTCTAAGTAATCCAACTTGACACGGAATAATAATAATAATAATAACCCAACGATTACCCTCCTCCCGCCCAACCGACGCGAGGGGCGCAATCCGCATACGTGCGGAATTAGGCAAGTCAGAAAAGGCAAGAGAGTTTTTCAAGTGTTGAGATCTAAAACTGCTCAGCTTCAGAGACAAAAATTTCAACAGCTGACATTTATAGCTACGATATAATAAATTTTTACATTTTCATTTATTAAGAGAAAACAATAAAGTCTTTTTAATTTTGAAAAGTGAGTCAGATATTGTAAATCAAATGTGCTGGAATGAGAATTAAAATCTATACTAATATTATAAAGCTGAAGAGTTTGTTTGTTTGTTTGTTTGTTTGAACGCGCTAATCTCCGAAACTACTGGTTCGAATTGAATAATTCTTTTTGTGTTGGATAGTCCAGTTATCGAGAAAGGCTATAGTCTATATAACATCACCAATAGGAGCAAAGATAGCATGTGCGGCATGATGAGAAGAATGAGCGTGTAAACATAATAAATTCGTGTATGTTATACATGTGTGATGGTTTTTAAAAAATTTTAAAAACATGATGTTGTTATGAACATGTTTTATGGTGTAAACGCTTGCATCATGCTCTGCTTTCACACGAGCAAAAAGAGTCCAGCGACTCGAGTATAGTTTTTCTGTCTGTTTGTGCCGTTCGAATGCGCAACACTTAGAGTATGTTGCATATTTCATTTTTATGTTGGGATGGTGGTCCCACATTTTGCTTGCAATGAATTAGCATGAATGTGGTAGAACAATATGCATAATACCTACCTGCTTAATATTTCCAAGGCCAAATTTATAACAGGAATTTCCTAATATTTATGTATCAAAAATTCATAATTTCTTTACTTGATATTTTTAGGATTCAAAAGTCTTTGTTTAAAAGGGCTAAATATTTTCAAGGCCAAATTTATAACAGGAGTTTCCTAATATTTATGTATCAAAAATTCATAATTTCTTTACTCCATATTTTTGGGATTCAAAAGAGTATTTGTTTAAAAGGGCTAATGCACGCAGTATATTTTTCCAGTCGTAAGCAAACATCGAAGCGTAATGGCGTCCAGGATAAACGAAGAAATATCAGAGAAATAAAGTATGATTGTACTGAACGGTTGAATGCAGCGCTAATTCGTTTATGCGATATAATTATCATCGTAATATTACTTTTTAAACACAGTTTCATTTTGTAGTTGTTTTCTATATAGTAGGTACTTTATTTGTTTTAGGATAGTATTTAGTTACACAATAATAACACTTTTTTGTTTTCATGTAGATTATTAATTTATAAGTATGTGTTTTCTATAAGTATAGTATTGTTTGTTTTAAAAATAGTATTTAGTTTCTAATATTTTTTTTTGTGGTACATAATACCTGTAGGTATTCTCATTAGATTAGGGTTAAGTTCAAGCATAAAGTTAGTTTACCTTATTTTCATTTTACGGTTGTTCTTTTGGCATAATCGTTAAAAATAAAAGTAATTAGGTTCCTAATTATTAATCTTCTTAATCTTACGTTTTTTTTTTTTATTACGAGATACGCTTTAGTTAAGTTTTCATTTTCTACGTTTTTTCTTCATCACTATAATGCCGAGAAAAGGAACTCAGCTTTCTCGGCAGACTGCTACTGCAAAGCGGCTGCGAGTTTTGCGCAGCAATGAAACTGAGGATGAAAATATGCACAGGTTGGCTACACAACGAGCAATTACTGAACAAAACCGTGCAAGGGAATCAAGCGTTGAACGTTCGCAGCGTTTAGCCTCACAAAATTTCCGAACTTTGGCGAACCGGCAACGGGAATCGAGTGCTGATCGTTCTCAACGTTTGGCTTCACAGAATGCCCGCACATTGGCCCGCGATCGGGAATCAAGCGCTGAACGATCCCATCGATTAGCACAGCAAAATGCCCGATCAACTAGGAATAGAACTCGCAGACAACATAATTTATTAAATGCTGCTTTTGCTTATGATTGTACCGTTGACTATTCTGAGCTAAATGATATTGATATTGGTAGAATGGATAAAATATGCAACTTATGCCAAGCAAAAAAATGGGCAGCTGAAACTCCTGGACTGTGTTGTAGTGGTGGCAAAGTAAATATACCTATAATTCCGGAACCAACATCCGTTTTAAAGGAACTGATATCAGGCTCACATCCATCATCTAATCATTTCTTAAATCACTCAAGACAGTAAAATACATTATTTCAGATGACTTCATTTGGTGCCAAAGAAATTCGCGAGGGAAACTTTATGCCCACTTTTAAAGTCCAAGGGCAAGTTTATCATTTAATCGGTGACTTACTTCCATCTGTAGGGGCACAACCCGAATTCCTGCAAATATATTTTGTTTCCCATGCAGATCAGGTATCCTTGCGCTCAAATTTAAACCCAAGCTTGCAAATCGATCTTATCGACGTTCTCCAAACATATCTTCATGATCATAATACGTATATTCAAAGTTTTAAGTACAATCTAAAAATAGACCACCGAATGATTTAAAACTTATCATTCATGCTAATGTAAAACCTCCTAATGAGCATAGAGGTCGGTATAATGCGCCGGTAGTAGATAAAGTAGCTGTTTTTATGATAGATGAAGACAAAGGTCCCCGTGATATTGTATTGACTGCGAGAGATGGTCGACTTCAACGAGTTTCTGAAATTCATAGATCTTATGACCAGCTTCAATATCCCTTACTGTTTCCCTTTGGAAACGACAGATACTGTATTAATATTCCACAGCAGAATACTACGGCTACATTTAAAACTGTTTCTTGTATGCAGTTTTATGCATTTAGATTCATGGTGAGAATAAATGACTTTAACAGTATACATTATTTCAAAGGATTATTCAACCAATATTGTGTTGATATGGCGGCAAAAATGATCTCTGAGAGGCTAGACTTCATCAAAAGAAATCAAAAAAAATTGAGAGCAGAAGAGTACATTCATTTAAGAGATGCCGTCGTAAATGATGGACATATAAACGCTTCTAATATTGGCCAGCACGTTATATTGCCGTCGTCATTTACAGGATCCCCCAGATTCATGAATGAAAAAAGTCAAGATGCCATGACATATGTCAGGAAATTTGGAAGACCTGACCTCTTCATTATATTTACATGTAACCCCGAATGGCCAGAAATAAAAAGTGAGTTATTGCCCAATCAACATTCTTATGATAGACATGATTTAATTTCTAGGGTATTTCATTTAAAACTCAAGAAAATGATAGACCTATTAACGAAGAAAAATATTTTTGGCCCATCGAAAGCCTTTGTTTACAGTGTAGAATGGCAAAAAAGAGGTTTACCTCACGCCCACATTTTATTGTGGCTGGCTAACAAAGTTCAACCAGATTCTATAGATGCAATAATATCGGCTGAAATACCTGACATACAAGAAGATCCGATTCTTCATAATATTGTCATAAAAAATATGATACATGGTCCTTGCGGATTTCATAATCCTACATCACCATATATGAAAGAAAACGTTTGTTCTAAAAAGTTCCCTAGGCATTTTATTTCGGAAACACAAACGGGAGATGACGGTTATCCAACCTACAGACGCAGGTCTCCAGATAATGGTGGAAACACAGCTATAATTCGTGTAAAAGGTAAATGAGCGTGGATAATCGTTGGGTGGTTCCCTATAATCCACTGCTATCACGAATTTTCAATGCACACATTAACGTAGAGTTTTGTCAATCGGTCAAAGCTATTAAATACATCTGTAAGTATATTCATAAAGGTTCTGATCAAGCCACATTTTCGTTACAAAGTAATAACGATGAAGTAGAAAAATATCTAAATGGTCGCTATATAAGTTCCTCGGAGGCGTTTTGGAGAATTTTCCAATTTTCTATTCATGAACGTTTTCCGGCAGTAGTTCATTTAGCCGTTCATTTGGAAAATGGACAAAGAGTATATTTTTATAATAATGAAAATCTCCAAGATCGTGTGAACAATCCTTCATCAAGGACACTTACAGCGTTCTTTGATCTCTGCAAAAGCGACGATTTTGCAAAAACCCTTTTATATCACGAAGTTCCCCAGTATTACGTTTGGCAAAGAAATTCATTTTCTAGAAGAAGACGCGGGCAAGATGTTGAGGGATATCCCAATGTAAAAAAAGACACAAATTTAGGCCGTGTTTATAACATTCATTCAACTCAAACTGAATGTTTTTATTTAAGAATGTTATTGCAATATGGTCGCGTTCCAATGTCATTTCAACATCTAAGAACCGTGAATGGTGTTATTTTCCAAACGTACCAAGGCGCTTGCAAGGAATTAGGTTTACTGGAGGGAGATGAACATTGGCAAAATACCATATCCGATGCTATCATATCCGAGCCAGCTACAAAATTAAGATAATTATTTACCACTATCCTTACGACTATGGGCTTCCTGCAGCAAATAGAAATAATTCGCTTCTGGACCCGTTAGAAGTAGCGTTGCGAAAACCATATAACATAAATGAATTAAATGAGTATATCACACAAAATGAACCAAGATTAGTTAATGACCAGGTGGCATCGTATACTTGTGTCATGAAAAGTGTTCGTTTTAATGAAGGAAGAATTTTCTTTTTGGATGCTCCCAGTGGGACCGGCAAGACGTTTATCACTAATCTTATATTAGCAAAAGTAAGGTCTCTAGGAAAGCTAGCCTTGGCAGTAGCGTCGTCAGGTATTGCTGCAACCTTATTAGCAGGTGGACGCACAGCTCATTCCACTTTTAAACTGCCCCTAACTGTGTCTTTAGAGAAAGATAGCGTGTGCTCTATACGCAAAAATGGCCCTTTGGGGAAAATTTTACAAGACGTCA